GGAGATAATTAGTGTTTCAAGGTGTAAGTGCCCAGAATAAAAACACTTAATAACAAAAGGTAGATTTTCTTTTAACAGTGATATGCACATTAACTCAAACAACTTTATATTCTGAAAATATTTGTAAGACCACATATATCTATGTAATCAAGAGCCCTGGCGGTGCAGTTAAGTGCTAGGCTGCTAATCACAAGGACAGTAGTTTGAATCCACCAGCTGCACTGTGGGAGAATGATGTGGCTTTCTGTTCCTGTAAAGATTTACAGCCTCAAAAACTCTGTATAGGGTCAACTTGACAATACACAACCACCACCCCAACATACATAAAAGAGCAGTGCAACTATTACATGAACTATTTTAATTTAATGTAACTAACGAAGTTAACAAATATTTCAATGTAACAAAAATTGTAATCGATGAGTTTACCAACTACATTTTACAGAATTTTCACAATTATTTTAGTATAGCCCACGACTTACATTTGAATTTTACCATTTTTGAAATGTAAAATGCACAATTATAATACCCATATTACCTATCTTGCAATTTTAAAGGTTTAGCTAAAACATGAGACCTCATATGTAAAAGCAAGGGTTCACCTACATGAGGACAAAAAAAATATTAACAAAGTGTCACTGTATATTAGACAATGAGAGAGTTCAACTATTTCCTTTTTCAGAGAGGACATGTTTTATTTCAAAAGTACATTATAATGCAGAACTAGTCATTTTCATTATACAAGTATAGAACTAATATTTGCATTATACTTTGCAACAAGCACAAGAGTGCTTACTGATAGTAGATATTAACCATAGTAAAGATTTCCTTCTCAAGAAAGATTACAACTATGACTTATGACAAGTTGTATAATCATCACTAAATCTAGTTTAGTGTTCAGAGTATTTAAAAAGTATAATCTTGAACTAAAATAAACCTAAGGCGATCAACACCAAGAAATAGTTGTAGGGACTTTATATAAATAATAATTAAAACAAAACTAAAACCATAACACCTTTGTTTTAAAGTAGGTTTCTACCTGTCCTAAGGAAAGGGGCTGGGGATAGTGGTAGATAGCAAAGTTTGGCAACAAGTACGTTTCTAGCAGGTGAAAGCCTGACTGATATGCCTTACTATGCATTTTTACATACAGAAAACGTGCGTATTAGATGTATACAGCAGCACTTTTCAGGCACTTGACCTCATATGGTAGTAAAGTTGATGTCCAGAATTTTTTAAACGGAAAGCATTAAATTATGATTTCAAGCCATGTTCCCACAGAACATCTGTGTTCCGTAAGCTAAATCCAAATGTTCCCTGCTAAAATCAAATCATGGCATATAACCAATTTAGAGAAAAAAATTTAATAGATTGAAGTTCATAGATTAAATTCTCTCAATTTTAAGGTTTTCCACCATAAATTTATCTCAAGTCTTTGTTGCCCATTACATGTTAGATTGCTAGCAGAAAAACAGATTTCAAAACTATGAAATAGTATGCCTAAATAATATTAGAAAATTTGAAATTGTTGATCAGTTCAATAGCTTGTTCTGCTAATGCAAATATGCCTACAGTTTTGCTTTTACACTGATTAAGAGCCATGTTTCTCATAGTAAATGAGCTCCTAGTTCATATTATAGACTTCAATATGTAAACATTTTAATGTATCCAAAAGAGCATTATGAATTTTCTATTTGTTCTCCCTAAAGATATTTGAGAACAATTATATTAATGCCTGGCTCTAGGCTCTAAACGATCTTTGGGTGTCCATGTCAAAAGAATGCTTTCAGATATATCACTAAGGTTAGGGTTCCAAGATAAGACTACCAAATTCTATTCTAAAATGAAAAAATATGGCAAGATTCCAGTATAGATGTTACTATTGTTTTCTTTTTTCCAGAATACTTAGTATATATTTAATTATGCTGACACTAAGGATTTTTTTATCTGTAAGTTTCACTGTACTTTGGGAAATTTTTGCAATATACTTTCAGGCAGTTAGCATTAAAATAATGAAACTTCAGCTCTTAGCACAAACAGCCCTGAGAACAATGCATTCAAATTACAGTTCAACCAGAAATATCTAGTTGAGAAACATTAGAGTACAAAACCAAATTTTGGAAAAGTTGTTTTAAAAAAAAAGTTACCAACATTTTGAGGCACTACCAGACTACAGTACTTTTAAGAGTTGTTAGGACTTTGCAAAAAGCACACACAAAGCTATGTAAGTATGAGCATACACACTCATATTGTGCGGCAATGAAAAACTCCCTGTGTCCCCAAATTGTATAGACTACACATTTTATTGCAGCACTTCCTATTAATGATAGCATGCTCTGGCTGCAGGAAGAATTCTGGTAATTAATATAAAGCAATGGCACATAAGCTATACCTTAATTGAAAACAGAGTCAAGAGCTTCATTAGCAACAGTTTCTTAAGTGACTGATAGCCCTTGGAAAGGAGCATAAAAGAAACATCATAAATATGTTTTTGATACAAATGCTATGTCAAAGTAGCAATGATTTGATCTATATCAGAGGATATACAATTTGTAGCAATTAAGATACAACAAAGTCTAGCACAGTAGCAGTAAACTTGTTCTAGAAAGAAACATATTTGACCTAATAATTTAATACTGTACATAAACTGATGGAATGCCTGCAGACAAAAACAGGTGCATCATGGTATGTTATATATCAACATGACAGTCTACATTCTATACATGGTAACTTGAGATTAGCATTTGTTACAAAAAAGTACAACAAATACTAAAGATCAACTTTTAACATTTTTTTGATGTCAAAAAAGAATGAAGTCAGTTCTGTTCTGTTAAAAATGTTCCTTGCTTCATTTTAATATAATTTGTAACGCTTTGCTAAATGAACTCTTGTTCTAGAGAAAACATCTATTGACTTACGTGAAAATAAACAGTCCTATATCTTTAAAATCTATACTTATTATTTTAAATCAGGAGAATATTTACATTTCATATAGTACATAAAATGAAATATTTATGCATAAATAGCTTTTGCCATTCAAGGTATGAAGATAAGAGATGCATTGTTATAATCTGTACATCTTTACATTGCAATTGAACTTATATTTATGTGAAGCCTGATGAATTAGGAAGAACAAGGGCATGCTAATCCAGAATAAATATTAAACCAGAACACTAGAATGGTTAACTGAAGCCATAAAAATGGCCTGTAAGCAGCACAGACTGGCAACTTTCTAGAATTCCTGTAGGTAGCAATGCCAAACTATAGCGAGCAAGATATGCATTACACAGTACCAAAAACTCAAGTAGCAGATAGTAGATAATGAAATGAATACTGGAAAGATTTTAGTCTAATTTCTAATTGTGCTTTAGATGGGCAAAAGCTAAAAGAAAAACAAAAAAAAGTTATAATAAAAACAATTAACTACAATCTAAGTATTTCTTGTGCTTTACAATTCTGTTCTCTCTTCTGACTTCTCTTAATGAGAAAAGCTCTTGCTTCTTTCCCATGTGGGTTTGCTAAGGCAAATACAAAATTCTACAGCATGCACAAATGAAGCAACTAAAACTGTAGGGATTTTCTGCTCCTAAAGCTCTTTCTAGTAGCTGATTAGATCAGCAACAGTGACTGCCATATATCTTCCTCTAGATGACAGGAACAAAGGTATTTCGAGGTCGAGGCATGTTGGGAAAAATCTTAGAGTCTGAAGAGAACCCAGGTATGACTAAAATAGTAATTTTGTTCTACATTTGGCTCCCATATAATTATTATATTGACTATGATCCTCAAAAACACTGTAACAATGTCTAGAAATTGAAAATAAAGTTATGTATGAGTCAATAGACTATCAGAGATGCAGTGGTATCACCTAAAACATCTTTAAAAAAAAAATTCAGTTTACAGAATTCTTTCCTAGCCATGTTTTACTAAGTCACAGTCAGAAAAAAAAGTACATATTTCTTAAAATAATCAATACAAAGTAAACTTTCTCCCATGATTACTTTCATTTCATTTTAGAAAAAAATATACATAAATGTAGCAAGCTTCCTAATCAATTTAAAGTAGGAATTCCTAGCTTCTGTCTCACAAATACCTTAATGTCAAAATATCTACTTAAAAATGGTTAGAAGTAAGGAATTATTACTGATAAACACCCAATACTTATTCAATGTGACTGAGAAAAAGTACTGCATAGTGTATTGAAACACAGGTTATCCCTTTATATACAGTGAGACTGAGAGGATGAAAGAGAAAAATGGAAAAGTAAAGCTAAAAACACACACAACTAAAAAGCAACTTTCTATTATTCATGGTGATTACAAAAGGTCTCAGATGAAAAAAGAGCTTTAACCAGTCCTCGTTGCTACTGTCCCTTGTGTCTGCTTTACACGTTAACTTGCTAATATCCACCCAACAGCACAATGCCCCTCTGTTAACCATAATCAAGGACTAAAACCACCATATATGATTATATTAAGTCGGCCAACACAATAGTAAAACAGAGGTAATACAGGTGGTTATAAATGGCCACCAAGGTAACTGACAATTTTTGATAATGTGATTTTCATTTATCTTAAAAATTTGTACCTGCTATAACCAGGTCGAAAATGTGATCATTACAATCCATAAATCCATTTATTCTGTGATATTAAGTCTGAAATTAATATAGAACAATTCAATTTATATGTGGTACCACTTTAGTACCACTAGATGCTACATTATTTAAAACCCTGGTTTACTTACTTATCATTTAACTGAAATTCAGGGATGATTTGCTCAGATAAAGCACACCTAGCTAAAGCTACCGTGTCCTTTTTTTGGATTCACATACCAAATGTTATAGGAAAGACATCTACAAAACCAACCAACAGAATTACACATCCTGATTACTTTTTTAAATAGCCAATTCTCTGCAAAACTAACACAGCACAATTTCAAACAATTAAAAAGAAATGAGGTTGTTTATGAAGGCCATAGCTTTGGTAACAACTTAGAACCAAACTTTAGATCTGCAGTTGATCCAGACCTAAACTGTTTTCTCTGATGATTCCATTTATTTGCAAGGTTTTATGGCTACAGCATACTCTTCACTCATTGCACACATGACAGACACCTGGAAGGAAAGATGCAAGCAAAACAATTATTCAGAAGATAATACACAAATAAACAGCAGATGTGTTTAATTTATCCTGTGCTATATATTTGAGATATTCTATATTTATTGACCTTAGAAAGGGATCCTCCAAGACCAAATAATCTACTTCCATTGGAGCTCTGGTAGCATAGTGGTCACAAATTGGGCTGTTAACCTCAAGGTCAGGAGTTTGAAACTACCAGCCATTCCATGGGAGAAAGATGAGGCTTTCTGCTCCCGTATAGATTTACAGCCTCAGAAACTCTGCACAGGGTTGCTATGAGTTGGAATTGACTCCACGGCACACCACCACCACCACATTTGTTTTCTCAAGTAGAATCTCTCAGTGAGAGTAAGAGTTCTAAATGCTGAGACACTCATTGGCAGTTACACTTTTGAAAGTGCTAACAAAGAGTGAGTTTCCTTTGCTCTCCTGCACCGTCACAGCATCACTTTTGTCATCCTCAAAAATAGCTGCGATGCAGATCTTCAAAGCAAATTTGGGACCAACAGTGCCACTGTCACAATAAATGAACTCCCATACCTTCTTTTCAATGGGTTCTGAGAGTTTCGTGAAAAAAATGCCTTATGCCTTAAAGAGATCACTTTTCAATATTTCAGCAACACTTGAAAAACTACATTTCATATATATTTGATGCTACCTAGCTAGTTTAGGCCAAAGCTTTTATAAAAAGGTTTTGAAAAACAATATTCTCCTAGGTCTTTACCTGCACATCTTCACCTGCATTGTATTTTCCTTCTATCTCTTTGCCTAGTTCACCTTCTGGCAACTTTAGATCCTCACGGACTTCACCGGTTTCGGTCAGCAGGGAAAGGTAACCATCTTGAATGCATATCAGCTATTAGAAGAAATTAGATTATATTTACTCCTTTGTAATATGTGCATAGTCAAATAATAATTCATATGAATTTTATAAGTACACAGGAATACATTAGTATGAGGGGGCTTCAGAAGTTAGTGGAAAGGTTCCATTATCTTTTAATCTCATTTCCCATGAACATCTGAAGCGTACTCACATATTACTGGTTAAAAACAAATAAACTCTTAGATATATAGCTGTATTTTTCAGAAAACTATTTTAATCGCTTAATAATATGTCCTGGAAGTCTTTTCAAATCAGAAAATATGGACCTTCCTTAATCTCTTACGCCACTATACAACTGTATATGGTATTTCTTCAGTTGATTTAACCATTTTTCTACTAATAGACATAAAAGTTGTTTTCAGTCTCACTAATTCAAACAATGCATTTCATAATTTAATTATAAAAAGAGATCAATGGAAAGGTTTTGGTTTCCAGCTCACTGCTAACAACACTAGTTTGTGTTTGTTTTAAAAGACAAATACTAGGAAGATGGTGGACTATGCAGACACACTACATGGACCCTCAACAACAAAGAGAGACCAAATAAAACAGACACAGATAAAAATTCTGGCACACTGATCTTGAGTGGATGGGGTGCTTGCTAGGAGAAGCTAAACAGAAATGGTGAGAGGGAGACTAACTGGTGAACAGCTGGCCAGAAGAGGCTTTATCATCCTGTGAGCAGCTTTGGCAGTGGAAGGAAGCCTGGCAGAACAAATTCATGTGGGCGTCAGGAAAGGTGCAATTTCTTCTTTCCCCCGACGCTCCCATGATGACCAGAGGTGTGGCCAGCTCCTACCCTCAACACAGATCCTGCTCTCCAGGAGTTTAGAGCCACATTGTTGGCAACCATGCCAAGTTGTGTTACTTTGGTGCCTGGATTGAGGTGGGCTCGGCTCCAGACCTACAAAACCCATAGTCACCACACCAGCATTTAACTCATCACCTTGCCCATAGCTTCTTTTTAGTCTTAACAGACACTGAAACCAGATCCATCAAGGGCCCCCATGAAATACTTCTGGACTGACTGCCCTGAACATAGATAACACTGACATCAATAGGAACTCCACATAGGGGGCAGGAACTCAACTGTCACATCCCTTCTATAACCACCTTGTGAGCTCCTGGAATTGCAGGAGTCTAGGAGAGATTTCTCTTCTCAAGGTACAGCAATTGCACTGTTTGTTTTTACAAATATGACAAGCCCACAATCATTTTAGCTTACACCTAGAAACAAAAGAGAATGGCTCAAATGATCCAGATGCAGAACCAGAAAACATTTCAGAAGAAGAAAAGGTAACAGAATTAACTGAAAAAGAGGTCAGCAGAATATTAATAGTTGTTGTTAAGTGCCATCAAGTCGGTACCAACTCACAGCGACCCTGTATAGGGATTCCAAGGAGCAGCAGCTGGTGAGATTGAACTGCCGACCTTACAGTTCAAACAGGCTTTGCAGTCCAGTGCATTAACTCACAGCGCCACACCAGAACTCCTGAATATTATTTAGGTATCCTCAAAGGATTGATAGAAAGAATGAGGATAGCAAGGGGAACACAGAAAAAACTGGAAGAATTCAGGAAAACACTACAAGAAAAACAGACAACTAAATGCAAATTTTGAAACAATACAGAACCTGCAATTAGAAATCCAGAAGATTAATAATAAGATCTCAAACAATGAGAATATATTGAAAGGGCAAAGGAGTAGATGTGAACTAATGGAAGCCCAAATTAGTATACTTGAAGATAAATTACTCACTACTAGTAAACTAGAAGAACAATCAGAAACAAGACTGAAAAAAATCTGAAGAAAGACTAAGAGTTATGTAGGACACCATGAAGAGGAACAAATTACATGTGATATGAATTCCAAAACATAAACAGACAAGCACATAGAAAACTACCAAAGAGTTGTTGGAGAAAATTTCCCTAGCATCATGAAAGACAAGAAGATAAGCATCCAAGAAGCTGAATGAATCTCAAACAGGATAGGTCCCAAAAGAAAAATCACCACGACATATGATAATTAAACTTTCCAAAACAAAAAACAAAGAAAGAATCCTGACAGCAGCTCGGGGAAAACGACAAAGGAAAACCAGTTAAGACTAAGCTTGGGTTTCTCATCAGAAATCATGCAGGCAAGAAGGCAATGGGATGACACACACAAAAACTCTTGAAAGAAAAAAACTGCCAACCAAGAATCATATACCCAGCAAAACTGTCCCTCAAATATGATGGTGAAAGTCAGGACATTTACTGATAAAAAAATTAAAGGAATTTGTAATGACCAGACCAACTTTTTTAAAAAAATGCTAAACAGTGGTCTTTGGACTGAGAACCAACAACAGCAGATAACAACTTGAGATTACTATACATGACAACACCACCCAGAACTCAATCCAGATATAGAAGTATCTAAAGTAAAAGAAGGAGCTCTGGTAGCATAGTGGTTACGAATCGGGCTGCGAACCTTAAGGTCAGCGGTTCGAAACTAACAGCCGCTCCGCGGGAGAAAGATGAGGCTTTCTACTCCTGTAAGGATTTACACCCTCAGAAACCCTGTACAGGGTCGCTATGGGTCGGAACCGACTCGACAGCACATAACAACAACAACAACAACAAAGTAAAAGAAATCTACAAGATTGAAAATAGGGAACCACAGATATCAATGTATAATGAAGTCAACTACAAAGCAAAAGAGGGACGAGTGTAGATACAGAACTTCTAAATGGTAAGAAAGATTTTAAGATAAAGCACACTGTTTTAAGCAGGTGAAAAAATTAATAAATGCAGGGTAATTGCAAAAAAAAAAATTACAACCTGCACAGTAAAATAAAAAAAACAAAAAAACCCTAGCAACAGGAAAATCAGAACGATGTAGCAAATTTTAACACAACGAAAATGAAAAGAAACCCCACAAACAAAATGAAGTCAGCATACAAAATTACACAGAACAAAGAATCCAGTAGCACCATACACATACACACAACACACATAAAATGTTAACAGTCAATTCATACCTATGGATGACTACACTGAATGTCAATGGATTAAATGTCAAGAGACATAAAGAACAAAATGGATATATTAAAAAAAACAGGATCCTTCAATATGCTGTCTATGAGAGACACATCAAAAAGATGAAGACAGTCTAAATATCCATCAGCAGAATGGTTAAACAAACAAACTTTAGTACATACACACAATGGAATACTACAAAATGTTGAATAAGGATAAATCTGTGAAACTCCTCACAACATGCTTGAACCTGGAGGACATTATGCTGAGTGAAATCAGTCAATCACAAAAGGACAAATTTGTATGGGACCTAGGCTGTAAAAAGTTAAAAAAAAAAAAAGTTTTCTTGATAAAAGAAACAATCTATGATGGGTACGGAGTCCTGGTGTGGCGCTGTGGGTGAATGCATCAGATTGCAAAGTCATTTGAACTGCAAGTTCAGTGGTTCAAGCTCATCAGCTGCTCCTTGGAAACTCTATACAGTGTCATATGGGTTGGCACTTACCAACAACAACTTGACGGTTATGGGGTGGGTAGAGGAATTATTCATGGGCTAGAGGGTAGGCACACGCTAGCATAGGTGGCAGGGCAGACAATATACAAGAGGGAGGTTTGCAGAGAAAAGATGAAGGTAGTGGGAGACACAGGGAGGAATGCAATACAGTGGATAAAGGTAAATGCTAATTGTTGGTATATGGAGGAGATTGCAACCATGTAATGAAACACAGTATATAATTTGTTGACGTTAATCTGATTCATCTGCTCTGTAAACCTTCACTCAATTCGCAATAAAAGATTTTTTTTTTAACAAAAATTTTAAAATAAAATTATTTCTAATAAATAAAGGCATGTAAACTATTGTTATGACTAGAACTCCGTCAAGTTTTATGAAAAGCAACCTTCCAGAATACCAGCTTTTTTATTCCAGTCAGAATACCAGCTTCTAACATTAGTAACAACCTGTTAATCACTATGATGTTGCATAGTTAAGCATTTCAAAGCTCTCCACTCCAACAGCACTAAAACTGTCTATGGCTTCACACAGAAATCTGAGCTTTTGCATACTATCTACTACTATCTCAAAATAAACAAACAAAAAAAATTCAATCCTTTGTACAAAGCAACAACATCATCTAATTAGATTTTTCTGATTTGGGCTCTTTTACAAGCTTTCATTTAAAGAATCAAAGCATTGTCAGTAGTGCCTGAAAATAGGAATAAAATATTAACACTGATTATTTTTATATTTACAAAGAGGCTTCAAAAAGTTCAAAAAGAAAGACCATTATCTTTTAATTCTGTTTTATTCCATGAATTTTTGAACCCCCTGGTATTTATATGCCAGTATTTTATTTTTTTAAGGTTAATAATTCACAAACTGTACAAAGTAATACATTAATATTTAAAGTATAAAAATTTATAAATAGAAACCTAATAAAATAACATATTAAAATTAAACAAAAGTAAATTGCTTTATGAAATGAAATAGAATGATCAAAAATAAATGATTACAGAAAATATAATAAAAATAATTTTCAAAAATTCATTATTTAAAAAAACTGATTTAGAAAATTTGCAAGAATAATGCAATGAAATACCATAACTTGAACCTAAATTCACCAATTGTTAGCATTTAACTACATGTGCTTTTTCTCTTTCTATACACACACACACTTCACACACATAACACTGGATTGTAGCCAAAAGGTTGGCGGTTTAAACCCACCATCCTATACAACAATACATGTAATAAAGGATGTATTAAACATATTCTCATTTTGCTGAACATTAAAAAGAGCATGATTCTAGTAATAAGTATTTCAATAAGGTACATACTCATGTTACATAACTATAGTTCAATTTTCAAAATCAAGACATTTAATATTAACATTATTTATATAGATTTTGTCAATTTGTCAAGTTTTGCGATTTGTCTCTATTATCTTTGACGGCAAC